GGGTATTTTGGCCCTCTCTTGGCATCACAAATGCTTCTGGCTTCCATACCACACATTCCTAGCATCCACACAGGCACAATGGGCAGAAAGCCCTCTGCTCCTTTGTAGCCTTTCCTATGTTTTGATTTTAAAAACAGAAGTGTAAGCTTAGGCATCTAAATATAGTCTAAATTTTGTGATGCTTGTATGAATATTTGCCGTTTGTCCAGTGGCAAAGGACTGGAAATACTTCAGCTAATCACTTTAAACCGCCCGGAGTGCCGCAGAGTGGTGCCTGGAGAACAGGCAGCGATTCCTTGAATCGTTCCCTTCCGTCTGGTTCATAAATTAAAATAAATCTTTAAAAAGCCAGAACACGTAAAACAATTCACTCGAGGCCCAGTGACGGACCATGTCAAATAACAGGGAAAACGCAACAATATTCAGTCTTGCTTCCTGGTGCCTTATGGGCCATTTCCCGCATAACTTAAACAGAACTGGCGCAGAGGAAGGAGAAACAGACAGACCAGCCCCTAAGGAGCTTGTCTCCCTGGAGACTGCCCAGCACATCCTGTAGAGAGGATAAAACAAAAAAGAACAGCACCAAATGCCAGCAGTAAGCAGTAGCATCCCATGAGAGCTCTGCTGAAGGGAAAGGACAGTATATCACGCCATGCTCATCCTAACTTATCAGACAAAATGGCTGCAAAACTTTTCTTTGCAAGTGGAACGCTTTTCTGAAAGACCTGGAAAAGTAAAGTGAAACTGTTCGTGAGTTCAAGTACACTCCTATTTCAAAACCCACATGATCGTTTTCTGCTTTTTAGCAAGAGAGCTGAGCGTGTCTTCTGTGACTCTGTGCAGTAGGGTTATGAACTATACTACTGAAAAGTGCTTCAGCATGTCACATAGAAACCATAGAATGCCTTTCATTCTGTACTGTGCAATTTATAATATTCAGATGTAAATAATTTGGCCCCATTTCCTTCAGGGTCTTTTTAAAGGCAGGTTCTGAATGTACAGTGTTGCTACATCTGTCCAAGTTTTCACCAGTTTTGTCATGAATTTATTTTATACAGTATAAGTAATGTTAAGTTGTACGTTTGCCTCTCTTTTGAGGTGTCAGCTTGCATTTGGCTTGTACTCGTCTGCCTGACATCACTTCAAAGCAGCTGGAGCTTTAAAAGCAGAAACAGAGCTGATCTCAGGTTATGACACCGTTTACTGAAATGTGTGAAGTTTTTTTGTTCTGAGCATGAAACCAACAGAGCTATGGCAAATCTCACAGAACATCCAGGGCTTCAGTCTGTACATTTCAGTCTTTATTTTTGTATTTCTTATTTCAGCAAATTTTTCTTTATTTTCCTTTTCAATAAACTAAACCAAATGAACCAGTAAGAGCTACATGGAGAGACAATCCTGGTCATCTTTTAATTTTTATACATTACCGACAGACTCCTTGAAAACCTGCACTTTCATCTGTAGCCATCTGCTACTGTTGTGATATTCTATGCTATGTACAGTATTTTAGAAACCTGATACTGTATAGTGCAGCAGTGAGGAGAGGCAAAAACACTAACTAAAGTAACTATATCCTCTTTGTCTCCTTCCAGAGAAACTATAAGTGGGTAGAGACTGTGCTGACAGTTTAAATCTGACCAGGCAAATTATAAATTGAATATGCAGGTCATCCTGCTCATCCTACTCTGTTTAAGTCTAGCTGTCGACTGCTGACACCTCTCAGAGCCGCGAGCTCCATGTCAGATCTCACAAAAAGCCTTGAAAATAAAGACTAGTTGAGAATGTAATAAACCATCCCCATCCTTAGGGTACACTTAACAGCCAATCGCACTGCTCATTCCTAGGGTTTGCATGATATCGACACATTCCCAGACGACATCTGCTCATTCGTTTTTTTGCTCTGAACCCTGAAAGTGAAATCACTAAAATAAATGCTGTCTTTTCTTCACAACTGAGGTTCCCTGTAAGGATCCCTAGAAGAGTGAAGTGGTACATCACTGGCCTTTGCTGAGCCATGATGTTAAACCAGTCCAATGGAAGTCTACCTCACCACTGCATATCTAGAAACTGGAACAAAAAGGTAGTCTAACCCTGCAAGCAACAGGCATAAGACAGGATTCTCCCTGTCTGTCGCAGCCTAGTCATAATCTTACATCTTACATTTGAGGACAGTATGCAGAAGTTCCAGAGAAGTTAAGACAGACAGGCATTTTCAGAAATACAGATCTGTACATGTATTTAAACAAACAGAGCAGACAGGGCAAATCAAACCAAAATTAGAGGTTAAAATAATGCGTGCATCCAGGGTTCGAGTGATAAATCTTATGACAGAATGGCGTAAGGCATCAGGCTTCCCAAGAGCAGGTTCAGACATCCTTTTGGAACTCAGAAAATAGGGAAGATCAGTAAACAAGCTGCCAGGTCAGTGATGAGGTTGAAAATGTTTTAGAGAAAACCGTGCCATCCCAGCCTCTAGACAAAGAAGGGTTAGAGATCTGCAAGTAACTCTAGCCCTTCGCACTAACTTGATGAAAATGACACAGCACTTTGCCATTGGGGATGACTGCATTCCATCCTTGAAAGGTTACATTTTTACAGTAGCAAACTGGCTAAGGTTGAAGCAAACTGCCTTCATTAGTTTTCCTGAAGAATCATGCAACGTCACATTGGGACATATGTACACTCTAGAAAATGGATCATCTGCCTAGATGTCAAGTTCTACTACATACCCACACACACCACTAAATTCTACACCAGCTCCTCTTCATCTACTGCCAGTAATGTATTGATCTGTTCTTGCAGTCATTCTGCCCTTGCTTTGTCAAGACTGTCCAAGAACCTCTGCAGTCAGGATCAGTTTATAAATGCCTATTCATTTGATCACAGCTGAAGACCACATGACAGTGCATCACAAGGCACAGATCATAAGAAGATAAGTGTAAAAAAAATTGTTTTTGCAGTTTCAAGGTTGTGCTTTTGAAGCTATGGATGACTCCCACACATAACCTAGCAAGAGCAAAAGAATGATTCAGTAATGATTTTTTTTAATTTCACTTTAGCAAAATGAAGATGTTTTCAGACAAACTTTTCATTTCTGATTGTCTACCCACTGTTTTCTAAACCATATTTTATATAAGAAAAAATGCAAAAGGAATCTAAACTGAAAGTAAAATCCCATTTCAGTAGTGCCACCCCTCGTGTAAATAGGTCAGGGGTTCCCACACCTGATTCTGGGGTACTGACATGTACGTACTAGAGGTCCCCCAACGATTCTTCATCTTGATTACAGCTGAGCTTAACGACCTCATGGAAGTCTTAATTGCTCAATCAAGTTGCTCAATTGGAATATTTGCTATTTATTTTCTACTTAACCATTTAAAATTTTACCTATGAAACACAATAGTTACTTCTAACACGTTTTACTAGCTGAAAACTGTCAAACAGTTCACATTCATCCTGTTTTTGAGTCAGTTAAGAGTTCACCTGAGAGCCCCAGCACTCTGTGACGAGGAACAGAGGCCCAGTTCTAAAAGCCTTTACTGCTGCTTACATCCGTAAGTCAGCCACTTACTAAAAATCAAAATAGAAATCATTGTAAACTGAAAATACGACAGTTTGCCACACCATTTGTAAATCCAATAGCACACTGGATCAGATAAAAACTGAGCACTTATATTAAACTCCTCACGAACACTAGATAGACAGTTATCCTTTTAAGCATTCTCTAGGCTAGCTTTGAAAAACTTAAATATATAAAATTACTCCTATTCCTGTCCAGGATACAATAGGTCCTCTAGGCCCTTCTAGGTCTGCGTCTTCTAAATCCATCAAATGTTGTTTAGAAATATCTTCACAAAAATGAGAGCTCCAAAGCCTACTTTTATCCCCTGGCTTTTGTGTGAAAAGGTTCTTCATTAAGTTCTTGCAGCAGGCTCGGTGCAGTTAATTAAGCGACAGAGATGTATTCTCTACAACTGGGCCATGTCCAACCTGAAGTGCGCTTAATCCAAACAGCTGTCTAGTTTTATTGTAAAGCTTTAATGAGGTCAATGCAGAGCAAATGCAAGCACGGAAGGAAGCAGGATAAAGAGTTCTGAGTGAAACAGTAACACTGACAGGTTAATTAATGAGAACTGATAGCGCTTTAATGTTATGAAAACAAGTCTTGCACTTCAGTGTGGTAGTTTATTTTTTTGCATAAACCCGCGATATCAGATTATGCAGTTAATTACATCATTTACTTTTCAAAACATGTTCCCAGAATAGAGTCCAGTCAGGTTAATGCAGCCTCCACTCTGAGAAGGCTCTACGCTTTACCTGGATGTCTAAGGAGAACTGGAGATGTCAACATTAGCTGGAAGAGAGGCGCTTATTACCCACGTGATGTTCAATATAAAACGGATTTTTCCTATGGAAAGCTGCATAGCGCCCCTAAAATTATAAATACCATGCATGGAAAAATAAATCATTTTTATGACTTCAGTCCGGCAGACGGCTGTAAACACTCCAAAGCTCTTTCCACAGTGGACTTGTCTGCCTGTGATTTGCTTTTAATGTAGTTTCTACACATCACCATGTTAACTCAGGAGAGCAACAAACGTTTTTAGACATCCTAAATCCCTCAGCGACAAGAGCTGCAGCTCTTTCTCAGATGTTGCCCTTCTGGATATCTAAAAGGCAACACCCAAGGATGTTTAGATTTCAGGAGCTGTTCAAGCAGATCTAGTACACAATACTGGATAAATAAAATTAGAATAGGAAACAGCTGAAGGTGAGGAGCAAAAGTCTGAAGTCTGAAAAGGACCCGATTGGGCCAGAGCAATGAAAAATACAGGTGTCATGAGGTATATAATTCAGGCTTGAGCAATAAACATATCAAGACATCCATTCTGAAGACAGTTATCTGCAGTGATGCTGTACATGCTCTGATGTAGGATCTGCAATCATTCTTGGCCTTCTCGCAAGGCGATTCACACACACGTGTAACAGCGAGGACTTACTGATCATGCCTGGTGTCGGGAACCGCCCTGTCCATGCGGAGCTTGTCGCTCTCTACCTGGTTGAATTTATTCCGAGCGTAAGGGTCTTGTCCAGGCCTCACCACCGTGGCACCAACATACAGATCTTGGTCAAAGTCCTGCCACCTCACTTTGCCTGGAATTGCAAAACACACAGTGTAAACACACATTACTGCATTGGCAAGACAGAGTCTCTTTAACATTACTTAAGGATTTCTACTTCAATGAAAAAGATTTTTAACTAAGACCACACCTGCAAATCCCTGGACTGCACCTATGAATTGATTTGGATGATGTCAAACCATGTCAATCTGGTATTTTGCTGTAGACATGCAGGTGAGGTACCTTGATCAGAGGTGCAACAGTAGTGTCTAGCCTGGGATTTGAACCCACAACCTTCCAGTTACAGGTCCAGAACCCTGACCGCTGATCCACACTTTTGCCTTTTGCTGCCACCTATACAGACAACACCTGCAGAGCTGCACCCGTTTTCGTTCTGGTGACTAATACGCCAAAAAAATTTGCTTAAATAACATGCAAAAAAAGTACATCTGATAGGTGTGACCTTGGAAGCCATTCACAGCCTAATACGCACTGCTGGTCATGCATTAGAAAGCTGCTGTTTAGAGATATACTGTAGATAGAGCGGAATTTTTCTGATCCTTTTTCAATACTGACCGATCATTGCATTTTAGTTAGACATTTCTCTAACTCTTTGAGAACAACGGACTTCAGAATACACATTTCTAGAACTGTACCATGCAACTGTGATGAAGGATAATACAATTATGCAAATAACCCCTCTAAAGTACCCAATAATGATTGACTGCAATATCTCTCAGATTGAGAACAAGCAAACAAAAAATGAGAGCAATTAATCTCTCAGCTCTGACTACCTGTCATCACCATTATAATTAGAAACTACTCTGAACCATCTGCCACTGATGCTAATTTTCTTTATGAATATTAATATCAACTTGCACATGCGGGTTGTTCTTGGCAGAGTGGAGTGAAGAAGAGGTTCAGTTTAGAACTGGCTGACCTCATGAAGATAATTCAAAGGGCTGTTGCAGAAGTTTCTTTTTTTTTTCTTGTGGTTTCATCTTTCGCCCCTTGAGATCAAGGCGCAAACCTGTCCCTCTCGGAAAGAGAAAGTCCGACCGGGGGGGGTCTGGTACCTGGGGGCAGGGTCTCTGGCCCGCGGGCCTTGTCGTCTCCATCGCTGCTCTGCGCCTCTTTCCTCTTCAGAGGCTCAGCGCCGTTCCAGTCATCCTGCAAAACAAGAGTCACAGAGAGAGAGAGATCTGAGAAACGCAGCAGCATCCTTCTGGTGTCTTAGACCCCAAGCTTCTCTCCCTGCCTGTGTGTCTCATGGAGAGCCAGTTGGGGTCTGCGAAAAAGACAAATTCCTAATGCAAGAAATTGTATATGGCCAATAAAGTGATCTCTGTCTCTAGTCAGGAACTTGGTTTGTGCTCTCCCTGTCAAGCACAAAGTGAGCTCCTTTGATAAAACAAAACCAGTAACTGAGGATTCAGACTATTAAAAAAGAATTACAATAAGTGCCTCCACTCTATAGCAATAAATCTATCTGTTCTTAATATCCCTTTAAAAATGGCTTTCCTGGACGAAAGAAATGATCCTCTGATTACAGATTACATTCTCCTCAGCATGTTTGGGAAAGTGGGGGTAGGGCACTGAATCTTTTCTTTTTCTGGAGGTCCCCACTGTAAGATCAGGCACAAGAGCTGCTGTTTGGGCACCCTCTGGACGTGAACATTGATGGCGAGCAGCGTGCCGCAACAGACTTGCTTTCCACTCAACAGATCCACCTCCTAAGAGGATAACGTGAAGGACCAGGGAGACAACTGCACGTTTTAAAATAAAAAGTGAAACTTGTTTATGACCGAGCTATTCCAGAAGCAATAGATCTTAATGCCATACAGCACGTCGTACAACATAGAAAAATTTAAGGATGTACACAGGACTCCCTGCTCATTCCTTAATGTGCTCCTACGTATTTTCCCAGGAACACACTGTGAAGGAGTGAGATTTTCAGGGTTTTGTGGCCAGTAACATAAAACTTCTTTCCAAATGCATGAAGCCTACAGCGCTGCTGGACTTTAAGGCTTGGACACACTAACCTCTACATCCTTGTTAAGATTAAGAGCCAGTTCCTGGCTGCCCAGTACAGGAGGCCTTGGGCTCAGAACTCCAGCATGGACACTGCTGATGTACAACACAGTGCTAATGGCTCCAGCCAACCATAGACTTCCGAAAGTAACTTAAGATGTGATGGACTACCATCCCAACCAAGGGGACATCTGTCTGTCACCTTGCTTCATGAAACACTTCACTGAGGCAATGAATGACTCCCCTTATTTTTTTGGAATTGTTTTGCTCCGTCTCGCAATAGCAATATGTCCTCGAAGACCGCCTCTTCATTCTCACTAGTACAACCCCTCCCCCAGCACCCAGCCTACCTCCCCAAACACTTCCAGATTTCCAGCCGGGTGAAATATCCCTGTGATCAAGACATTTTGCATCATTAACGCCGCAACACAGAAACGACAGCATGGCAGAATCACATACACACCTTCAGGGCAACACTAGGAGTGATTTGATCCCATCAGGGGTAAAAAAAAAACAAACTAAAAACCTACAGTAATTTACTACAGGAATAGGTGTGAGATTTTTACAGTTCTACAAGTCTTTATTTCTTTCCGTCGAAGCACAGAGGATCGTGGAGTTGTGTGTGAGAAGCCATGGGCATTTGTACAGTGAAGCAATTAGCCAAGATTTCCTTTTGACTAAAACAGCAGAATTGTGGCTGTACAGTATAAAACATACAATATTAGGCTCCTCAGTGATGGCGTGGGTAGGAGAGTTTAATGAGCATGTGTTTTTATGTACTCTGAAGCGTGGCGGCTCTTTATAATAGGGTTTCAAGCTGCGATCAAAACCACACAGAGCACTGCTGCATCTCACACTTAAAGCAAGTTGCTTGGCAGGTAAATTTCATCTCCAGAAGATCGTTCTGTTAAAAACAAATCATAGCTGATCAAAGAGCTTTGGATTTCTTCTTGCACACATGCAATTGTCACTCAGTTTAGGTTGGTTTTTCTTTTTTAAAAGGCTCATTTTACAAAACAAAATTAAAACAGCAGTCAACATCGCACATCGTAAAGAGTACAGACTGGATAAGAAGAGTGTTCTTTGGAAAGCATAGTTCAAAAATTCTCTTTGATTTTTTTGTTTCGGCTTGTTTGGTGACTTGTATTACAACAATCACACTGGTTCCAATGGACCTGTTTTTTTCTGGGGTTCCTCCATATCTTTATGGATCTCCTGCTTGCATGTGCTTTGCATCACAAGGATTTTTATATAACCATACAGTTCATAAAAAATGAAACTGGAAGCAGGTATTTGGATTTTATCAATCACAGATGTGGCACAGCTGCAGAATTAGATGCATTTTCCCCCGTTTGAATGTATTATTTATTTTTCTTATTACTTTTTAAAGTTGTGACCTAATATGTCAGTTAAGTAAGATACATGCAAATCAATCCAAACATCAATCACAGGGGCAAGTGAAAATCTGTCCAAAAGGAGTTTACATCACAAGTATAAGTATCTAATGCAGCAGCTGCTTCATTCGCTATGAAAATTTTATTTAAATCCCTGACCATATCTATACATTTTAGTGTATGTATTAATTATATAGCAGGGCATTCTTCTGGGGTAATTCAAATGAAGTATGATTCTCAAGGGGTACAAAAGCAGTGTCTCACCCAGTATTTGAATCCACAGCTGTCCAGTTATGAGTCCAGAGCTCCATCAGTCTACTCATTATTGCCTTAATCTCATCACCTTCCATTCAAAAACAAAAACCTGAGAGATGTACAGTCTAAATCTAAACAGCACCTTGCATTTCTCTGTCTTATCTCAATATGGATATGCAGACATGAGTATTTTGGCCAGCTTTTTCATCTCAAAGTAGTCAGCTCACAATCTAAGAACACAATCTCATGAACTAAGTAATCCTAACTGCTCGGTTCCGGGCTGAAATCATGTCATACAATTAGAAGTATGCAATTCTTAAAATATACAGTCATTGTACAAATATCACACGCACAAAGCACATGAAAAAACAATGTTTTTCTCAGTTTTCCAAATGCTGTAACTGCTAGCATCAACTGGAAGTAAGACCATATCATGTACAATGTCGCTTGCTGGGGTGGTTAGCTGTCATGCAGGACAGAAGGCCAAACTGAGCAGAAGGTGAAGGTTATGAAGTCGTTTTCAGAGTGTAGATTCAGTTCCCCAACGCAATGAAACTTCTCAAAAACAAGCAACCCTGCCACTTTCTTCAGGAAATGGCTGGTTAAAATTTGCAGACAAGACACTTATATGTTCCTTAGAATGGTGATAGTATGATGGACAATTCAAGAATGTTTGCTCGTGAAGGAAAAAACATTGACTTGTGCTCAATTCAAGTCACCACAGATACCTTTACTTCAAGAGGAATGAAATTTTAAAATTGTTTCAAGCTTCTCAATGGATAGCTGAAAAAAGTAAAAATATCAACATGGCATACAGTTAATGAAAAGGCTGTTGCTAATCCACGGAGCTAAATACATATTTGACGTAGACAAGTCCGGACAGCCGATTGAACAAAATAATTGTGGCTTTTCCTTGCACGTTCCAATGCTGCTATTCACAACAAAACACTCCACACTCATAAAGGTATGTGCACATCTTATTTTTATTCCTGTACACTGCAAAAGCAACAGATGTTCAGTTTTCTCAGGAAACCAGCACCTACTGCTACAACACAACACCTGATGGGACTCCAGCTGCTATTTATGACACAACACAAACAGCCCAGAAAGCAACCAACCGGCGACAATGCGTTTGAACCTGAAACACTGGAGATTCGCACACTCTGGGTGTCTCATTGAGCACGCAGGATTGCCTTATTTATCCTATACGAATTAACAAGCGGTGTTTGTTCTCACGCAGTACTATCAATGAAAGAAATAGAGAGAATGATACTAGCAAACTGCTGCCAAGGGTCACTGTTAAATGTATCAAAAATCTGTAACTGTTGAACAACCTTGACATTCATGCCTCCACTTCATTATAAAACCTGAATATTGTTAACGCAGTTGGAATTTATAAAGGCCAAGTAAACACTGTGTTTCTGGGGCCATTCTCCAACAGAAGGGCACCAAAGGTTCAGAGAGGTCCAGATTGCTTGACCTGTGTTGCAGTATGAGATGTACTGTATATGCATGCACACATTCAGTATATTTACTGCACAGACTTACATACTTATCCACATTCTCCATTTTCTACATTTTGAAAGAAGCTGCACAGCAATCCCAGCATTACTCTTTAGCCAGTCAAATGAGGTTCATCTGACAGATGAGATTCATCAACAGTGCGAGTAAAACACTAATTTTTTCTATCCGGCAATTGCAATATGTACTGTATATTAACAGATCTCATTTGGTGCCCCAGACAAGCCAACCAAAAACAATTTCAGTTTTTACAAAGACAAGCTCACGTTTTCATCAGCTCTTCTACACACAGGGAGCTGCAAAGCCCCGCTGACGCACAGAAAAGTTAGACTAATGGCAGAGAAAACTCAGTAAATTAAAGCCACCAGATAGCATCACCTGGCCAAGCGTGGCTTGTCACTTCTGTAACTTGCATAGTGCTCTGAGCCCTGTTACACATGTCTGAGGGATCAAGACCATGAATGTAGAGGCTGAAGTTATCACACTATTCAATCACCAAGGCTGCATTGAAGAAACGTCTCAAACCCTGGCACACTGCATGCCTAAAATCAGCATTTCCTCACAAGCAAATGTGATTCCTGCTGATGGATCAGAAGAGAAAAACAAACCTATCCAGTAAAAACTTATAAACACACCCCACAGCTAACAGCTTTTAATACAAGAAACGACAATATCTGCAGGCACGCATGTCGCCATTTAGAAAATCAGATCAGATGTCGCAGTTGTAAAGACCTGTTTACAATGTGAGACGGATCTTCCAAAGTCTTTAAGATGTGCTATTTCTGCCTTTATCCAGGGCAGAGCTTCACATTACATCACGTGATCACAGAGGACACACGCTTCACAATATTGTCGTTAGATGGGTCGTTCCTGGACACCCTTCAGACTGGTTTTCCAAAAGAAAAGAACTTATATCATTCTTTTAAAGCACTGTAACAAATCATTTTGGGATAAATATTAAGGTTTATT